TAAAGGCAATTTTCACAGTTGTGCCTGGCACGGTCTTTGCAACTTGAACATGAAAGTGTTCATTTTTTTAATTTCTGTTCTTCTAAAATTCTATCTATTGCACACTTTTGTGTGGTGGTCTATATCAGATAGACAGCATTGCCTTTCAAAATAATTTTACTACCTCAGTATAGGTAGAAGGACAAATGGGTTAGAATAAGGGGTTTGCCGAAGGATTGTTGAAGTGAACTGAGAGAAATAATTTTTTCAGTTGCTGAATTAGTATGGCTTAAACCGTTACAGTGCCTCCTGATAGTCCACCTCCTCCAGCAAATTATATTTGCCAATCCACACTTCCTTGCCACCTCCCTGCCTTCTCAGAACCCTCAATTCATTGTTCTAATAGATCAGGCCTTTCAGGTGTTACGGAGCATCTGATCTCCTCTATGCAACAGTTCCTTGGCCTAAATGGCCAATCATCGGGCCTGAAAACTGTTATGTGGTGGAAGCAGTGACATCTTCGTTGGATTTTAAGACACAAATGAAAACCTGTAGCCTTAGTTGTACGTTTAGCTCATAAAGCTACTTTGCTTCTATGTGTAGGTGTAAGTAACAACCATTAAGATTTCAATTGCAGATTTCCTAGTAGAGACCAAAGGATGAATAAACGTAATTAAAACACCTGACTAGCAGCTAGGGATGACTGAAATACCGAATTTTCACTTTCATGAAAGGTGAAGTTATGGTGGATTTTGGTGGTTTTAAGAGTCAAATGGTCTTCATCTGGATCCTAAAAGGGTTAGAAAAGCTCCCTTTACCACCTCTAGACCATTTTTCTGCCAGAAAATGACCCCTCATTAGGTGGGAACATGACATTAGACATTGAGGAACTCTAACCCTTTGTTGATAAACAAAGTTATGTAATTGCCATGTCAGTGCTGAAATGACACATGGCTTTATTTAAAAACAAAGGGTTGGTTTAGAGTTGGCTTTGTTTATCAACAAAGACATGGATCATCCTATTATTGCTGACATGGTGATCACATGTCTCTGAAAAAGAAAATCTAACAATCAAATTTTACCCAAACAGTCCTCACGGCCAAATATGAGGCGAATTTTAGTGCGAGTGAAATCAATACTATTTGTTTAAAATCAGTTTGGCATAATGACTGCTTATGAATATTATTTGCCTTGAGCTTCTATGCCTACTTGTCCTTTCCTTCTCTTTATTACATTTAGAAGTATATATAGAGATATATGTTGCACATATATTTTTTATTAACATTGTCATTTATTTTATATAAAATCTTTTTGAGTTTTTTTGTTTATTTTGCACATCAGTGTCTCTCATGTGCAGCAGAGAGAATCTTAGTAAATAAAGCAAGTAATGCATTTTTAAATCACTAAGTAAACTATAATACTTCAACAGTTGAAAACATTAATCCTTTGTAGACTTAGGGAGTGAGTACAGTCACAGGCATATAAATCATGGGAACTAAATGTGATGTTTAAATTTATACAAACATATTACACTGAGTTATTTTCTGAAAAATACAATAGAGCTTGACATTGGTAAGTACAGTCTATCAAGTTAACTGCACATAGTATTGGACTGTACATTGCACACAAAGAAGGTCTGGGCTTGGGGGGGGGGGTTGG